CTGCAACATGCCTTTACTGAACTTGGCACCCACGCAAAAAAATGAAAAAGCTGGTCTTCTGGATTGTAATAATCACCACAAACCCTAAACCCCTAAACCCTAAACCCTAAACCCATAAACCCTAAACCACGCCAGAAACTCCTGAACCCTAAAGCCGAAAGCCTGGAACCCACAACTTCCCCAAGAGCGCTGGAGAGGCTGGGATCGATTCCTTGTCTGCTGTTGAATTCCGGAACAAGGCTGGCTTGGGGTTTTCAGGGCTTTAGGGTTTTTAGGGTTTAGGGCTCTTAGGCTTTCGGGTTTGAGGGTTTAGGGTTTTAGGGTTTAGGGCTTTAGGGTTGTAGGGGTTGCTAAGGCTTTAGGGTGTTGGACTAGGTTGTTTAGTGTCCAAGGTTTTAAGGTTTAAGGTTTTAGGGTTTAGAGTTTTAGGGCTTTGGGGGTTTAGGGTTTTAGGGTTTAGGGTTAGGGCTTTATCATTTTAGGGTTTAGGGCTTTATGGTTTTAGGGTGTAGAGTTTTCAGGGCTTGCGGGTTTTGGGGTTTAGGATGTTTAGTGTTGAGGGTTTTAAGGTTTGGGGGTTTAGAGTTTAGGGTCTTTTAAGGGCTTTGGGGTTTTCTGGTCTAGGTTTGTAGTGTTCAGGGTTTTAATCATTGATTTAAGGTTTAGGGCCTTAAGGTTTAACGGTGTCAGGGTTTGGGTTTACGGCTTAGCAGTGAGGGTGTATGCTTTTGGGGTTGAGGGCTGATGGCATAAGGCTATAGCATAGTCGGCAAGAGCATTGCTTCATAACCATGTCCCCCACAAGCTTGCAAAAGAAACCATCGACCCAACTCCTGTTTCGCTTATTTTAGCCCGCCCCTCGTAATTAGAGCACAGTCCGGTGTGTAGTACAGGATACAGCGCACGATCGTGCTCACATTCTGATATGTAGCATCACGGGCATACCACAATGCAGCAAACCAGAGCACGGTGTACAGGAACATATCACATTTCACGTGTTCTTGATATGCTTGGTAAGACAGGGTGCTTTGTTAAACCAGAGGAAGATACGAGTTTATGATAAGACAGATTGGATGCAACATAACCTGCGCGATATAGCACACTACAATGGGTAGGCATCTCTGTCGGTAACCAAAGTCTCCGAAGCGTGAGTTGAAATGTTGATTGGGAGGTCTCGAACGAGTTCCGGTCGGTCACTTTGCCAAGCACCCTCATGTTCGACTACCCCACCCTCACCGCGCTTGCGGATTACGTTTCCGAGCAGTTGGTGCCGGACACGGCCACAGGGCCGACCCTTGCCATGCCTCAGCCGGGAGCCCCTGCTTCCAACGAGGCCATTGCGATTCTGGGGGGAGCCTGCCATCTTCCAGGTGACAGCTGGTCATTGGATAAGTTTGATTTCATGCTCTCCCAGGGCGTGGACTGCAGTGTGGAAATGCCGCAGAGCAGATGGGATGTGGATGATTACTACGACCCCGATGCAACAACTGGCCTCAAGATGTACGTGAAGCATGCAGCATTTATCGAAGGTGTTGAGCTCTTCGCAGCAGCTGTCGGGCGCTCAGTGAGGGCCGGCATGACTCCAAAGTCGTGCTACATGAAGCCGATAAACCTACCGATGTAGCTTCTCCCCCTTCAATGCAGCCCCATCACTGACACATCTTTATGAGGCTTTCAACATCAACAAGGCCGAAGCAGAGACCATGGACCCGCAGCAACGGCACCTGCTGGAGGCAGCCTTCGAGGCCTTCACAGCGGCCGGCCTCGGCAAAAGCACCCTCATGGGCAGCTATGGGGGCGTCTTTGTGGGCCAGGACAAGTGCGATTGGAATCGAATGATCACCGGCGACCAAAGCGGTCCCTATGCAGCCACCGGTGGCTCCTCGTCCATCAGTGCGAACCGGATCAGCTATGTGCTGGGACTGAAGGGTCCGAGTGCAACAATGGACACGGCGTGTTCGTCGTCGTTGGTTGCAGCAGACACTGCCGCAGTCACTCTTCGACGGAGAAGATCTGAGTTGGCGGTGGTGTGCGGTGTGAACATGACTTTGCTTCCGCAGACTTTCGTTGCCTGCTGTCAGGCCCAAATGCTCTCAAAGAGTGGACGGTGCCGCACCTTTGATGACACTGCCAGTGGGTATGCTCGTGGTGAGGGCGTGGGTGCCCAAGCCCTGGAGCGTCTGGGAAGTCAGGTAAGTGCCGGCCCAGATGCAGGGCTGTTGGCCGAGCTGCATGGCTCAGCTCTGAACCAAGATGGACGAAGCTCGAACCTCACGTCGCCCAATGGCCCATCTCAACAGGCAGTGGTGTTGGCTGCACTTGGGGAAGCTCAGGTCCAACCGGCTCACCATGTCTGTGTGGAGACCCACGGTACAGGCACAGCCCTTGGAGACCCCATCGAAGTCGGAGCTTTGAAGGCGGTTCTGGGGGGCTCACGGCTCCAGACGGTGCAGCTCGGAGCGGCGAAGACCAACGTGGGCCACTTGGAGGGTGGTGCGGGGATGGTGGGACTTACCAAGCTGGCATCGATCCTGTCCCGCAACTGCTTGCCGGCCAATCTGCACCTCCGCGTCATGAACTCCCACATCTACGATGACATGCAAGACTTCCCTGTGAACTTTGTTTCTGACGCATGTGCCATGACTTGATATGGGTAAAGGTGTCGATGCAGATGTCCAAGAAGCCTAGCTAATTAGCGACTTGCATTGGTACCCCATTCAGCCACCCTAAACACTTCATAAACCCAAGCGATTCCTTCCCCTGTTTTTGTCCGAGGCCCCAGTCAAGCGATAGCAGCTGCCTCCGTTTCCTCCTTCGGTTTCGGCGGCACCAATGGACACGTGCTGCTGGCCCGGCCGGCGACGAGGTCGAATGCAGGTCGGTGGCGGTGTTGCTCTAGGCAGTGATGTGAGGGTTCCTGTAAGGACGCTTATACTAAACACGTCTTCTCTTGAAACAAATGCTTCGCCCTTGGCAAGGCCAATCTTAGCTGCTTGATCCCAAGCCGAATCCCCCGAAGATCGAACGCCAAGAGCTTGGAACAAACCATACCAGCCCCAGTTGCATGGCACATGTTGCTCACTGAGGGAAAGGAACTACGAAGTTCTCCTTAGACTACATGGGACATGCAGCGGCATGTAGGATGTGGACATTCGCCCTTAACCCAAAACTCACCTCTCTGAGTTTCACCGGGCCATACTCGTCTTTTAAGACCTGGTCCTTTGCCTTGCGCTCGGGGCGATGAACGGCTTCAGCTTACGGTCACCCCAGTCGCGCATTGGGACCTTCAGTACGTTCAAGGTTCGTAGGGCTCAGGACTAAACGCCGGAGATCGGGCTGCCGTTCCCCAAGTGCTCGGATTTTGTTCGGCGGGTCGGCTCCTCAACGGTGCTTAAAGTTCAACTTCACCATGCGGAGTTCTGGTCCCTCACCGAGACCGCCCGCAGTTTAGCGTTTTAGTGAGGGTATTTTGTGTGGGGGATTAAGAATCAGCTTCGATCCCTCGTGTAATTCCATCTATCCCTCTCCCTCTCCGTGTCCCCCTCCCTCCCTGTGTCTCTCACGTGGACGAACAGACTCGTGGATAGATAGCCCGAGCTGTGAAGAGACATGAAGAGCAAGTCTCGGTCGTGATGAGGCTGCTTCTTGCCCAGGAAGGATCTAAGTTTCGGAAACCCTAAACCCTAAACCCCCTTTCGGCCCTTTGGGCACAGGACTGGCAGCGGTGAAGCGCTCCGCAGCGGACCTGGAGCGTCAGGCCAGCGAGGGCCCACAAAGGATCAGTTCTTGTCGACAGTGGCAGTCTGCAGGGTTTCAGTAGGGTGACCTCAGAAGAGTTACAGGGTTTAGGGTTTAGGGTTTAGATGTTGGCAGTCTGTAGGCTTGTAACCTTTGCACTGCTGAGTACGTCATAAGTAAGGGCTGCTAGCTGCAGCTGTGCATGGGGAGGCCTACCCCTGGCGGGAAGCCAGCCATCCCCTGCTGAAGCGACGAACCACGAGAGCAGATGGAGCAACCGTGTTCAGCTGCTCCTTCGGCGGCCATGTTCTCGCTCTTCTCTCCCACCACATCGTGCACGGTGAGGCGTGCTCACCTAGTTAGGCTTGCTGTGATTGGACCAGCAGCGCAAAGAGCTATTCACAATGCTGGGTACTAGAAATGCGGTGTATACCTAGACCTATGACAAAATCATGTTCATAGTATGACTCTCAGAGACACTGCAGGTGGTCGTTCCCGGCGCGTGCTATTTGGAGATGATCGTCGCCGGATGCACGACCTTCGTAGGTGGTTGCCTTAACTGCACTTTTTATATTCGCGAAACCTGTGCAGCAGGATAACCCTGGTCGTGCCGAAAACTTGAATGTGGCAGTCTAATGACACCTGGTGGACCTTATATCGCTCTCCATGACTTGAGGCAGCGAAGCTTGGTGTGTCGAGAATCTGGGCTTTGCAAAGCCGTTGGTTCTCCGGCCCTTGGTCCGCAAGTAGATGCCGGGAGGTGGGCAAGGTGCGAAGGAACACAAAGCCGCTTGGAAAGCCCAGGCTCCTGCCAGACGGATCCTTAGAGGAGCCCACAGAGATGCGCTTGGTGCTGCGGCCGGATGGACGGCTTGAGGTGGAGAGTGAGATCGGTGCTTGCCTGAGACTCTGAGAAGCTTCCAGCTACAGCTGATGCATACTACACTATACTATATACTAGACTATACTGACTATACTATACTATACTATACTATACTATACTATACTATACTATACTATACTATACCATACTATACCATACTATACCATACTATACTAGACTAGACTATACTAGACTATACTATACTATACTACAGAGTATTATACTATACATTATGATGCTATACTATTACCAAACTATCCTGCCTGTCTGTCGCCTGAGGCAGCGACCCTGAGGACAGCATCGTCTCGGTACACGTGGAGGCAACACTGGTCATGAAGTCTGGCGGCTGGGTCAAGACAAACCGACCAGAGCAGGACCCCCGGTGAAGGAATTCTGCATGCAACCTGTAGTGTTTGTGGTCAGGGCTGCTAGAGAGAAATAGCATTGGCAGTATGTCTGTAGCTATCAGAAATGGCGGATGCACGTTACCAGTGTAAGCTGATGCCTGCGATCGGCATGGAAGGGCGTCATCATTAGTGTCACGAAAGGTATCATGAATGTAAATCGTCGAGTCGCTTGCAAGGGAGTCGTGCGAGACATATGGTCGGAAACAAGCCGGGCGGGCGGGGACTGGACAGGGAAACCCGGGAGCATAATGCTAGACTGAGGCCCTTCCTATGAACCATGAATGCCATGTGGTTCGGAATTGCGTGTTTTCGGCAGTTTTTTTGCCATCGGAAAGGTCCTGTCACAAACCCCCTGTGCTTCGCTTGGTTGCCCGTCGTCCCCCACGCGTGTTTCTGACACTTAGTGCCTAGTCGTGGTAAAACAATCATGAACGCCCTCCTCCTCCTCCTCTTCTCCTCTGCTCCTCTGCTCTTCCTCCTCCTCCTCCTCGCCTTCATCCTAACTCCTGCCGCGCTCCAGTAAGACAAAGTATGTGTAGAAGTACAACACCCTTTTAAATACCGTATAAATCGCGGTTGCGACTACAGACAAAGGTTCTGGTTTCTTATGCTAAGATGATACTTGGATGAGAAATCATCCAAGTGCACTACCTTCCGCTTGAGGTGCCGGGCAGAAGTCTCGTGATGACATGCCCCTGCAGCTGCACTCCCCAGCAATCAGCGCCACTGCAAACCTGATATCTGAAACATCGTCTCGTATATACTTTGGTGCTTCATGGTGGTTCTCACACCCGCTGCAACGCAAAACTTTGGTGAATTGGCACAATGGGCGTTAGGACGGTTCAGGCATGGATGTTCCGTCCAAGCACTGCGAACATGGTCGTTGTTACTGTTCGAGCATGGACGTTCGGTCCCAAAGTATGCGCTGGGAACATTGCCGTTACTACCGTTCTGGCACTACGGAGGCACGTTCGTGGAACGTGTGCAGCCTAAACGGCAGCATCCGAGGGTTTCGGCATGTCGTGGTCTGCGGCGTAAGGTCCGGTCTGAGGGCTCATCATCGTGATCGTCATCATCATCATCATCATCATCATCATCAGCATCAGCATCAGCATCACCATCGCCATCGCTATCGCTATCGCCATCGCCATCACTATCGCTATCGCCATCATCATAATTCTCATCATCACCGTCATCACCATCGTCGTCATCATCATCATCATCATCATCATCATCATCCACGACTATCCACGCGGTCACCAGGCTCATACCAACATCTCGACCCACTACTGCGGCTGGAAACCATCATTATCAGCGTTATCAGCAGCAACATCATCAAGCACCATCATGCCAATCATTTCAGGGACGGAGACAGCGCTTTAGTGGCAGCCCTCGGCACGTCCAAGCGGCATTCTGCAGGACGGCTTTGACCTGAACCAGCTCCGATCACAGTGCAACTGGGCCAGCAAAGCTGAAGCAGGACACGTGGCACGTCCATGTTCGGACCACCCAACGAAAACGGTGTACGGCAATACTAGTCGCTATTACATGACCACGATCAGGTGTACGATCTTGAAGCATTTTTTTCATGGCTGTTAGGCATTACCATCATCCATTTTATCATCCAATATGAGTTATCATGTTATCATCGTCAGAACCATGACGAAAAGCCCTCTTTTGGAACCTAGGCCCTGAGCCCGTTGACATTGACCTCATGTATTCCTTCGGCCGCAAGAGCGGCTTGCCGCTTCAACCGCGCTTCCGCACGGTGCGACATGTGCAGAAGGGCAGCTTGGCCTTGTTTTCTTGAGTTGGTTGGTGCTTCTCATATTTATAGCCCTTGTATTCGGATCGGTTTCAGTATTTCGTTTTGCTGCTCCTGTTATGACTACTTCGACGATCGTTCTCTTTGTCATTTGGTGGGGTAACAGGAGACAAAGAGTCGTTCGCACGCCTGGAGATGGAGAAGGATGGAACTCACGTTGGCTTCTGGCTTGGGCCCTCGCTGATCGACGGTTCCTTCCAAGCATCCATGGCTCTGGCAGACGCGGCGACGGGAATTGGAGCCTTTGCCCGCAATGAATCAACCGGTTCATGAATGTAGGTAGGCACTTAGAGTGAGAACCAAGGTTCCCAATGTCCACTTGAGCCCTGTGAACCCCAAACCCCAAAATACTGAAACCCTGAACCTAAAACCCCAAATTACTGAAACCCTGAACCCAAAACCCAAAAATACTGAAAGCCTGAACCTTACGCCCCAAGGCACGCTGAAAATTCCGCTGTCTATTCGACGGCTTCAGCCATGCGGCCGGCCGTTGCTCGGAGTGAGCACCAGAGGAAGCCTTTCAAGTTCTAGGCTCTAGGGTTTCGGGTTTAGGGTTTAGGATTCAGGATTTAGGGTTTAGAGTTTAGGATTTAGGGTGGGTTCGAAAGAGATTCGTTTGTTGTTTTGGAGACGTCTTGCTTGATTCGTGTTCGAGCTTGTTCTTTGGCTTTTCGGTTTGCAATTTGTCTGGTGTTGATTCTGTCTGTCCTCAGCCAACGTGTTAAGTGTGCTGATTATTGATGGCTGTTCGTCTCGACATTGTTTTGTGCAACTTTGTTCCATGATACTACTCATACTCATTTTGCTACTGCTACTGCTACTGCTACTGCCACTCCTACTCCTACTGCTACTGCTACTGCTAGTAGTGGTGGTAGTAGTAGTAGTAGTAGCCGTCGTGGTGGTGGTGGTGGTGGTGGTGGTAGTAGCAGTAGTAGTAGTAGTAGTAGTAGTAGTAGTAGTAGTCGCAGTAGCAGCACTAGTAGTAGGAGTGTTAGTAGTAGGCGTATTATAATAATAAGAATATTATAGTAATTATTATTATTATTAGCAGTGGTAGCCGCAGTCCTAATCGTAGCATTAGCAGCAGCAGCGGCAGCAGCAGCAGCAGTAGTAGTAGTAGTAGTAGCAGCACCAGTAGCAGCGGCAGCAGTTGTCGTCTTCGCAGTCGTAGTCGTAGTCGCAGCTGTCTTTCTGGTCGTAGTCGCAGTGGGAGTGGAAGTGGGGGTCGTTGTCGCAGTGGGGGTGGTGGTGATACTGGTAGCGTTATGAGTGGCAGGTCTTGCAACCT